CAAATTGGCTGCTTTACTGTATATAAATCAAATCTTTGCATTATTTATTCACTTTGCCTTGAGAATGGTGTCATGATGATGCCGAAATGTCGACTTTTAACGTTAATATTCGCCTGCTAATGTCTGCATCACTTTCATTAATGCAAATTTTTGAGTAGGTTTAGGAGATTGATCAGCTTAATGAGTTTTGAGACATATAACATGCAGGGTTGAATCAGCAAAGTATACAGCTGGAATAACCATCCATGTTGAACATCCTCTTACATTTTAGTTCCGTGCTTCGTGCAGTGATTAGTAACATTTACTGGTAGATTATGAGCTCAAGATTTCTGAGGTGATAGTTGATGAGAGCAAAGGCTGAATCAACTGTAACCTCATAGAAATCAAGAGAGAAAAATCTAATCATTTTAGGAGAATTCTAACTAAATTTCCTTCAAATACTAATAACATTAGTATTTGAAAGAAATTAATTAAACTAGAATTCTACTAGAAACTTCCAAACTGTAGCTTGAACTGATGAGCATGTGTACAGAGAGACCAGTTTAGAGAGAGAATATTTATTGGAAACTATTTCTAATTGTCTCGCTGGTCTTTATATCTTATTAACCAAGCACCATGGCCGTACTGGGAGAATATCTACCCAAGGTCTTGACAGTTTGGACTGAGCACAGCACGGGCAGTACAAAAAGGTCTGTGGGCTGATATTCTCCCAGTAGGCTTGGTTAATAAGAGATTTATTGCAAGACTGAAAATGTTTACAATAAAATGCCGTGATCGTAGACTGGGAAATAGCACATAAATCTGATTTGGGGCTGAATAGGCACATACTCACATCAAAACAGAAAGGGAAAGAGACTTGGAAGAAAAAGAAAAGGAATAATTTATGTTTAAAGTGCTCAAGCAAGTCAGAACGTTCCTTCTGAACACTACAGAGCACACCAAGATAGTGTTACCCTATTCATGGCTTCATTCCTATGCTTTGTCTGCAAGGTAATGTACTGATGCAGTTGATTTCCAATGAATCTTATTAACAGATCAGAGTCAGTCCTTTTGGCATATGCACGTAAGAGACTTGATCAGCTGACTCAGGAGTTGGCTAGTTACCAGACTGAAGAGCAGAAGAGGCTGGAGAACTCCCTTAAAATCCAGCGTGAAGAGGATGCCAAGTTAACTGAACTTAAACTGAAACAAGAAGCTGATAGAATGGTGTCTGAGTTTGAAACTACCCTGAAAAAGAAGGTAAGTAACAGCTTACTATGAAGTTATTATTATCAAGCTTTTCTCTCTGAGGATGACAAATTAATGAGGCTAGGTGAGAAATATGGATTGTCCCTCTTCTTTGCAACACTTAAATTACTTGTGCATTCACCAGTTATCTGCTTATAAAATGGTAAGGTTAAGTCTCCATACGGGCCAAGTGGCCTATCAGGCCGGAGCTTTTCCTGGTTTCTGTAGCATGAAGCGACTAGCATAGGAGTATTTCCTCTCCCCCCTGGATGGGATGCTAGTCCATTGCAGGGTTATCCCCAGCCTTAAATTCGCCGGTACCCATTTATACACCTGGGTAGAGAGAGGCACTGTGAGGGTAAAGTGTCTTGCCCAAGAACACAACGCAATGTCCCCAGCCAGGGCTCGAACCCCGACCGCTCGATCCGGAGACAAGCGCACTAACCATGAGGCCACCGCGCCTCCACATATCTGCTTATAGGTAAAAAAAAAAAAAAAAATGTAATGCTTGTATTTGGCCGGACCATGACTTACGGGAGGTGTCTGTCAGTGGAGGTTCCTCTGTTTTATATCTATATTTAGGGTGAAAAATCAAGTATTCAAAGGCTAGTTTTCCTGGATATTGATGGTGTAGATTACAGTAGAGTCATCACTGTCAATCCCTCCTCTTTGTTGAGGATTTGGGTCCGGTCACAAGGGGCCATAAAAGTATCATTTTACATGACTGTACTCTTACAAAGCTTACGTCCTGTCTTGTTAGGAGGCGGAGCTTGCAGTAGAACATGAGGCGAGTCTCCGTCAGCAGCTGCGTCGCCAGGCAGCAGCTTACAGTGATAACTTAGCAGAGGTGCTCCGTGTGCAGGCAGCTGAACTAGAGGAAAGGTGTGTATTTGTTGTTTTGGTCATTATGTTGGGAGACTTTGGATTTTAGTTAAGACACATTTGGAGAGATTATTACTTCGTTTATGCTTGTGACCTGAGATTAGGGCACTAAAATTTAAGTTGTTGCAAGCTTTCAGATCTTGACTTCTTCCAAATTTCATCTTAGTCTTTTTTCACCACAATGATAGCCTGGAAGAGGAACAGAGTACCTACATTAAAACAAATCACTGTTCAGAGTTCCTAATGCGAGAGTGTAACTAACCTCTAGGTACCAAGAAGACTTACGACAGAAGTTGAACGCAGAAAAAGACGCCTTCGAGACGCAGCTAGCAGGCGCTCTCGCTCAATTACGAGGTGTGGAAGCAGTCATTGAAGGCCGAGCTGCTGTTGAGAAACAAAACAAGCAATCACAAAATCTGTGGGCAGCGTGTCAGTCGCTGAGCACAGCTATCGACAAAGGTGTCGACCAGCCGGGGCCGCTGCTGCCTCAGCTGACTGCAATCCACGAGGCGGCGGCGGAGGATCCACTGGTTTCCGTGGTCCTCAACTCTTTGCCTGTAGAGGCAGTGACAAGGGGAGTGTTGAACGAAGAGCACGTGGCGCGTCGCTTTTACAAGGTCCGGAGATGGTGCCGTCGAGTGGCCATGATAGGAGAGAATGGCGCTTCTCCTTGGACTCACATACTGTCGTATTTTCAATCTTTTCTTATTTTCGATTCATTTGATCCCAAAAAAGAAGGAGAACTCGTGGACGTAGACAATGCAGACACTTTCGATCTTCTGGCGCGCGCAGAGTATTACCTACGCCGCGGAGATCTGGAGCTAGCAACGCGGCTGGTGAATCAGCTTCGCGGGGAACCTAGAAAAGTAGCGCATGATTGGCTACTTGAAGCTCGGTTGCTGTTGGAAACGAGGCAGGCTGCCAACTTGTTGACTGCTTATGCTGCTGTTTTGGGGACAGCGGACGCTGATTGATTAGTTCATGAGATATTTTTAAAGGTCCGTTGAGACAAGCTGTCGCTGGTGATACAGCTATTTCATGATCGGCTCATCCAAATAGTAAAGAACAAAATTAAAGTTCTCATTTTTGTCAGGTACGACTTGTATCCAAAATAATTGGCGCCATGGGAATAGGCATTAGAATCTTAAACTTTTGACGTTTCTTTACCAATAAATGGTGACCGTGTGCACAATTTAGGGTTCTCTCCAAGATTTCATCAGTAAAGCAAATATTGAAACAATGCGGCTTATGCGACCAGAGTTCGTGATCACAGGAAGAAGTCGTTCGTCACTTCAAAGAGCATTTTTATTTGCTAGAAGTGGTCAAAAAATTTTAAAGGTTGAAACATATAATCATGCCCCTGACCAATGGTATTCTTTTTGTAATTTCCCTTGAACCTTGCCCAACACAATGTCGGTTCTACAAGTGCCTTGAACGCACTCTCAGAACTGCTGTGCTGGACACAATAGTTATTTTATTATATTTCCCTTTATTTCCAAACCAAGGCCTTTCTTTTAACAACATACTCGTGACTTTAATGTTACTGTCTTGTTTTAACTAATTTTTAGACGGACAAAGGCCATCAGAGAGGTTAAGCATGACGTTTACGGCAAACGGCAAACGGCAAAAATGAAACTTTTGCCCTCTCTTCAGCGGTGTGTACAGTAGAGTAAAATTATTTGTATTTGCAATGAATAGTAAGAGACGTTATTCCATTCTTGTGTGCTTTATCTACGGATTAGAAGAAAAGAACTCAAAATCAGAAGTTATCTTTGCCGTTTGCCGTCTTCCGTTAACGTCATGCTTAACCTCTCTACTGTCAATTAATCTGGAGTGAGACGAAGTGTTTCTCAATCACCTGACTGCCTTGACGTTACACTGTAGTAGTTGAAACCATCAATGCTAATGAAATCCTCTGACTCAGAATCAAGAGTAGCATTGTTAAGCTGGCACACAAGCAAACCGTGTTCTGAGTCCTGTTCCATTCCAATATTAATAGAGCTGCATTCAGGCATTCTCAGACAATAGAGTGCGCATTCTATTTCGGAAGAAACCATTAGCTCCTTAAAATTATGCTTCACTAAAGCGACTTCATTCTTTCTTCCATGGAACAATCCTTCCTGGTAGTTGTTGGCCGTGTCGGGGATAGAATAGGGGGTAGCTTGACACGATCTTGTCAGCGCGGGTAGCGGTGTACGCGACCCTGGTCCGTAGTTACATCGAAACTCTCTCAGCTGAACCCCAGAGCTATCTGTCGCTGAACATGCGCTCCATTGCGTCCACTTCCCTAAGGATGGCAGGATAACTTGAGTTTCAAACTGACTGATACACGTAATTGCAGTAGAATAAAGCGGTGTTCCAATCACTCCCGGAAAAAATGAAGTTGAGGGTCAGTTCAGTCGAACACAGGCAAATATTACTAAAACCGATAAGATCTCCAAGCATAAACATGCAAATGGTATACGTGTCTTGACCTGAGGGGGAAATGCGTTAAGTCACAATTGGTTTTGGTTTTGCTCCTGATTGGCTGAAAAAACTATGCTTGCTTTGCATTTGAAAGGTTACTCATGTAAATGTAAATATAAGGTTGTTGGGTCATTTTCAGTGCTCAGAGAGCGAGAAAGACAGAGTAAGACGCATTCTCAAAGCGATAGAGCAGTCATATAATAAAGTGACTCCTGGTAGTCCTTTGAAAACCGCTTTATCTAAGCCCAATAATGTTTCCCCAAGAAAAGATCATGCAACAAAATGAAACCTCTGGCACCCAGGCTAACTTATGGCTTCGAATGATTAAAATCAGTACATTAATTTGTCGGGTTTTTTCTATATTTTTATATTATATAGCAAGCGATTGAAATTTGACAGCTTTTTGCTGTCGGATAACTGACTGTTTTAATTTTTTCCACTTATCTCTGATTCAGTGGTCACGAATTTTCAACTCACTAGTAACAAGTCATTATGTAACAAAGACAGCAGATCAGAATCATAGTACCGAGTTCTCTAGGCTTTAACAACGACGGTTTTTCACCGCCTTGGGCAAACACAATGACCAATAACAATAAGCTGCCACGTTAATTTAAAGCAGGGTAGATCACTAAGTTACTCAGTTTTAAAGTTTAACATTACACTCAAAAAAAAGTCGGCGAATGCTTAACAGAATGCTAAAGAATAAGCCAGCACACACATACTTAATGGTCTATAACTGGAAGAACTTTCGTTTTTCAACTAGAAAGTAATCTCAATCCCAATTTGTATTGACAGACATTGCATGTTTGAGTGTTGGTTTCCGTCAAGAAAATATGGGCGCACGTTATCCATTAAAAACTGCAGGTGAATTTGCTTTGCATATATTTCAATGTGAAAAAAATATTTCAACGGACTTCTAAAGTCTAATTTTGCACCGGCTGCATAACAAAGTCTTCGAAAAATAGTAAAATAGCAAGTCTACTTTCAGGGCACGCTGAGCGTGACATCCTCATTTATTTAAGAAAAAAAAAAAAAAACAGGAAAAAACTAAAAACTAAAGGAATCAAAAGAGATGTCGATAATCTTTTCAAGAAATAGCAAATATACGAAAAGGTATACGCGCAGAAAATAAATGGACTGATAGGAAATAACTGCATGAGGCTAGCATGTCACAAATCGAAGAACAGAAATAAACACCTTCACTATTATGGTTTCAACTTCAGTTATGATTAACGCAATTGTTAACTAGTACGGTTATAAAATTCTTATTGTTGGGATTTTTAATTTTTCAAGATCGCTAGAAGTATTTTAGGCGTACGTTACGTACTTTGAGAAAAGTGAAAAAAATCGAAGTGTTTAGTCCAGCTCACCTAAAGGTCGGTGTCCATCAGTGTCCGCTAACCCCCAAAGAAAAAGTAGCAAGACTACCTTCCTTGAAGCCATTTTATATTACTGTATTCACGACGCCAAACATTGCTCATTTCAACATCATCATCTTGTTCTCTTCTTGTTCTTTCTTTTTTTCTCCTGTGAACAGAACTGATCATATTATATTCGCCTTGAATTAGTTTAGGTTCCGCCGGCAGGTTGTCGTCTCCATGTCCGGCCGTTATTTGATTTATCTGATTTTTATTTCATCTGGTAATCTGGCAACTTTGAAGTTCGATATCGTCCTCTACCGCAAATAAAACAAAACTGCTCTTGAACTGTTTTAAAAAAAAGTTTCTAGGCAACTCGTGACCAGCCTCTTCCCGCGTCCCAAAGAAAATCGTGCGAGGTAAAAAATGCGGCGTTGTTACGCCGCAAACTGTAATAATCGCCGCAAAATGTAATAGCAATCGCTGCAAAATGTAATACTAACGCAAAATGTAATGACATTGACGCAAAATGTAATAAAGTATTCAACGCAAAATGTAACAACTTTATGACGCACAATGTAATAACGCAAAATGTAATAGCTAGTTACGTATATTCAACGTAGACTACATGAATTGAATAACAGGTCTTCAGGTTTTGTTCTCAACTCTTTCTGCGCCTTTCAATAACATACGGACTCTAAAATTCAAAGCTCAACCGACAAATGCGTTTTTCGCTACCGTCAATCAAATGTTCGGTGGCTCCTCCCAGCTTCCGACTACTGCCGAGCACTGACTGTTTCGTTGACTGAACTGTGCTCAACGATTTGATTACCGCGCGCTCAGCAGTAGTCAGAAACTGGGAGGAGCCGCCGAACATTTGATTGACGATAGCGAAAAACGCATTTGTCAGTTAAGCTTTGAATTTTAGAGTCCGCATGTTATTGGAAGGCGCAGTAAAAGCAGGGCTGTACCTAGCAAGAGGCCGGACGAGGCATAAACTCATCTAGACTTTATCCCCAAATTTTGAAAAAAAGTACTGTTGGTTGGAGAAGTAATTTCCAGAGCCAATATTTGCCAACTGCTGGTGAAATATTAAGATGATTCCTCAAAAATAAAGTTACCGTGTAATTTTTTTGAAACCTTGCCTGAATGTTCTCTAGCAAGCACTGTTTCAAAAAATACAATAAAAGAGATAGGCCACCATGTTCGCATAAGAGATATGATGGGCCAATCTTACCGTATTTACTACCTAACCACGTGCGCTATTTCATCATTTCACGCTACATTTTGCGGTAGTTGGAAGCAAAGGTTATTAAGCCTATCAAAGCAATGCTTGAAAAATATCTTGATGGGCAGAAAGTCTCGGGAACCTGGAACAATGTAATATATAACTATCAAATTGACGCTCATAGAGCTGGCTACCAAACTATACCAAGAATTTTGAAATCAGTAGAATGAATTGTCGAATTTTTTACGACCTTTAAATGCGGGTGTCCTAATCACCTTTTGAAAGCTACAAGTCAAAGCGTATTTTGTTTTTCGCTAATTTTATTTGCTCCTCGTGATCAGTTTCCGGGTCCATAAGTTTTTAATTTGCTATAGGGTTTTTTTGCCATATACAATTTCAGTGAGACGTTACAGAACTTTTCGAAATAGGAGTGATTGTACTAAAATCGCTCTCGCTCTCTCACAGTGCATGGGGCCGTATATCAAGTTAACTAAATCTAAGTAGGTTTTTTTTCCCGCTCCATCATTCAGGCCCCATCCACACCAAGCCGGAGAAATTTGAAAACGCAGCTGTAAAGCTTCCACGGAGGCAGCGGGGTCGAGTGGTTAGAGCGCCGGATTTGAAATCCGTAGGTCCCGGGTTCAAATCTCGCTCTGACCGCTAGCTGATGTTGCTCTCGGTAGCCCCGAGTTTAACTTCTCGGCTACGCTTGTAAATAGGCGAATCTTTGGTGACGTCATTGTTTACATTTTTCTCATTAACATACGCCTTTGCGCGTAGAAGGCATCATGCTAGACACGATTTTACTAGAAAAACTTAAAGAGCTTGTGAAACTTGGTAAGTGGTGAGATTTTTCGCTCTTTGGGTGTAATATTCGAGGAGAAATTGGCTTTCAAAAACATCAAAGTTTCTGTGTGGCAAAAGCGCTAATGAGCTCATACATTCCTTGTAAAATTTTGAACTTTTAAACCCTCGTCGTGATTGTTGCTTTTTCAAATCTCTCCAGAGTAGTGTGGATGAAAACACTTGCCGTGTCTTCAAAGT